GTGAAAAGCAGTGTTGCATTTGAAGCCTCACAGATCTCGCGTGTTGCCCCTGTAAACCCAGGAGAAGATACATGCTCTGCTCCTCTGTCTGTCCACATGCTCTCCGTCTGGGCATCTGTCCCCGAGCCTGCCTAGTGGCCCTGAGCTGTCAGCTCGTCATCTCATCTCCGGAATCGAAGCCATGCTCCCCCTAGTTACAGCGGGAGCTCTCAGAAGTCTTTAAACAAAGTGCTTTCACTAGGTTTATCTTTCCATCTCCGTGGCCCTCAGTAGGATGGTTGAGGTGCCTCAGGCCACCCCATCCCGTCTTACATACGTGTGCGTTAAGTATGAGTTGTACTGGGAGTTTGTGGGTGATACATCGTTTTCAAGTAATTAACCACCTTTTCCAGCTTTGTTCTCTATTCAAATTTAAAATACAATCTTTATCATTAACTCAGTAATATATATTTTAGATTCAATGTTTAAGTTTCTATCAGAAGTCATTGTCACAATTAGTTTGGCAGGGTAAAACCCTGTTTTAATGATTGTAATTCTGTAATGCATTCAAATAGCCCCCTGAGATTAACCTTAAACACCTTTGGGTGTATTTGACCTTTTATTCTTGATGGGCCCATAAAGGTCTAAAAATAGTTGCACTTAGAATAGCACCACCAAATAATATTTTAATTTGGAAGAAAGTTGACATTCAGCAATGGATCTATAATTTCATATTAGGTTGATTGTTATGAATTTTATTTTTATTAGGTTGATTAAAAAGCATTCTGTTTTCTCTTTTTTTTTCACATTTAGGAAGATTGTTGATTTGGATAAACGTATTTCATATTCAGACACCTTGAAATCACTAAGTCATTTTTAATCTAATTGTCTTGGGTATTTATAAAGTAGACTATCTTCCATTAATGCCATGCAAAGCTGTTCTTTCTAATACTTTTACATTCTATTTTTACATATTATCTTAAGTGTAATTTTTAATGTCACTGTTACACATTAATGATAAGGGTAATTCTCATAGTCTCTTGTTAAATGGATTTTATATGTTTAATTTTTAACCATGGTATTTGTTAATTTGATATAAATGCTGATTCTATATGATGTAAAAAAGCATTATTTTTTCTTTTACTTATTACATTTACTTTACCATTATTTTTATTACTTTGGGATTACATTTTTAGAAAAGATTTTGCATATCTTTGTAAGATTAAATTATTTTTCTCCTCAGCATAGCCATCCCATAGATGGGTTTCTATAAATCATGTCTGGTTCACAAATATGTCTTTGTGTTTAGTTCTCACTGTCTCTGAAAGTTAAAGTAAATGTCAAATTTACATATTGAGGTTTGTCATAACAATTAAATTTCCAGAATTGAATTTCTGATAAAAGTAGAACACTGTGTTATATTTTGGCATAGCAAGAATATGTCAGGTCTTAGTACCAACTGTTCCCTTTAGTCCAAAATATGTATTAATCTAATGATTGCCATTATTTTTGCATTTCTGTTGATTTTACTCACGTGGAAATCATTAGCAAAGTGGATAAATGGGGTTCTTTCAATCAATTACAAAGCTCTGAGATGATACTAAGAAAGAGGATTAAATCAGATGCTAGTTCAGAAGAATCAGGATCTCTGAGCCAGTTGTAGATTTCCGGGTCAGAAAGGCGGGCATCCCAGGGGCCCCAGGCAAGGGTGGCAGCAGAAGGAACAGAGGCCCCCTCCCCCTCCCACCCCCACCCCACGCTGTGATTCAGGGTGGGGCTTCGGAGGAGGTGGGGCCAACACAGGACACACCCCACAGGACAGCCGGCTGTGACTGACAGTGCTGGTCGGTCACGTGGGCACAGAGGGGAGATGAGGTGGAAAAGACCTTCTGCAGTCAAGGGTTCTGCAGCAAGGAACACAGCTGGACCCACACACAGGGCCCAAGAGAAGGTCACCGGCCACTTCTGCTTGGGTTTTCATGGCAGACCTGGTTCTTGGTTATGCAGTCCTCTGTGCACCTCAGGTAAACATACAAAAAAAGAAAGAAGACTCTTGCCAGGTGAAAAAGTGTGAGGGAGACAGAGGGAGCGAGGGCGGGTGGGAGTGAGGGAGCCAGCAGGTGGGCAGGGGGTGGGGGGTTGGTGAGAGCCAAGCCAGAGCCAGGCTATACCCCGAGTTCTGTACAGAGGGGACCCCGCCCCCCCTCACCCTGCAGAGACCACATCCCCGTAAACTCCCTGCGGAGACGTTCCTCCCGGGTGGCCAAGCGTCACCGTGGTCTCTGATGCTCTGACGTGTGTGGTCCCACTGGCGTCTCCAGCTCACAGCTCAGGAAGCTGCGTCTAGTCCTCCAGCGTTGCTGGGATTTTCTCACCAGCCTCGCAGGCAGGAGACATCTCGGAGCCTCTCCTGCAGATGGAAACACATCCTCTGCCTTCAGCTCTCCCGTCATTTGGAAACCACCCTTGACATGGGGATTCCATGAGCACCGGGGGAAGAGTCCAGAGCTCTCTCCACTGGGACCCCCAGACTGTGTTTTTCTGTGTCCAGTCCCTCAAGACTTGACCTAAGTCGACAAGTTGCAGGAGCCCAGATCCCTCGCCCCCCTCCCCCTCTGTATTTTTGTATCCACCGAGGAACTAGTCTTCCTCTGAGGTGAGAACTTGCTTTTAAATCATCAGCATTCTTTTCCTTCCCATTATGGTATAAACTCTAGGTATCGAAGCCATTACAATTACTATAGACATTCAAAGCTAGGAATTTAGATTTTTTTTTTTAGAAGTAACTTGCATTCAAGACTAAGCTAGAGGTCAAATACAAGAGTTTGACTCTGTTCTGAGATATTCTGTCTCTTCACTTGTTCAACAAATATTGATTTTGCCCCTACTAAGACCCAGGCCGACGTCTAGGTGCTAGAAGTGATGTATTTAATGACACAGACAGAAATCTATGACCTCGTGCTCTTGTTTTCTGGGGAATCATAATACAAAAATAAGTTAAAATAAAATAAACAGTATTAGATAATGCTAAGTGATAGAAGGAAAAAATCAGAAAAAGGCCTTTTATAGCGGTGCACCGCTTGACATCTCTACCTTGCTACCTCTAAGCAAGGGTTGTAAAGAAACCTCAAATTTCTTTCTTTCTTGTCCACACCGTGGTAACTTAAAAGAATTCATTTGTTTTCTTTTGATCCTTTCACCCATTTTAATGAAGAATTTTGTTCAGGTTACCGTTTTTAATCTCAATTTTAAATTGTTCAACATATTCTCTGGTTGGACTCTATGAACCCAGATTAGCCACATTGTTCCCACCCTAAAAACCTAGAGCTGTAGGTTACCAATGTGGTATGTGCGCGTGTGTTTGTGCTATAAATCAGAAAATATCTGTCTAGTTCATTTAGGTACTGTGATTTTCTATTTAGAAGGAGATGTTCCAGTATGATTCAGAAAAAAATAGAAATCGGAGCACTGTGTGTTATTTTCTTGAACTAACCTGGAGGAGCCCATTGAAGCAAATTTGATGGCAGAGGCTTGATCGTGAAAACCAGTCTCCATTGAATGTCGTTTTAAGTAAATACCGTGCCAAGAAGTGTCGTTTATTTACCTTCAGTCATACATGTTATGTCCTTCATAGAACGAAAATTACATGTTAGGGGAGCTAAAACATACACAGCTAGATAGTACTCACTCTAAGACAGTGGTCCACATAAAATGCTGGTAGGATTTTATAGCAATCCTTAAAAACTAGTAAAAAGCATAGTTCCACGAAGTGTTCAATATGAATTTTTTGACTGGTAGTGAAACATGCTTAGGGGTCTGCTCTTCTCTGCCCATCTCCAGACTATCCTGATTTTAGCTGAAGGCACCGATAGTTCTGGAGATTTCCTGCACTGATTCCTCACCAGAGCGAAAACTACTTGGAAATGATTGTAGCGATGTTAGAAGGATATGATATTTGTGCATGACCCTGCAGAGATCACACACCTATGCTCAAATTTTATTTTCTTTCACATTTTAAGTGACATATATCCTGCCAGTAAGTCTGTTCTCGTACATGAGCCATTTGTGCCTCCAACTTTGTGCCTCACGTTCATCAAATTTCCTCTTAATTCACGTTTATCAGTAAGACAAAGGGAAATAAAACTAAAAAAGGAAAACCAAAATAATTCAACAAAACATATTCTAAGTGAAAACAGTCTGTGTTTAGTCTGATGTAAGAGTATATCACACAGGGAGCATCATTTAAGCTTCTCTAGAAAACCAATGAAAAATAATAATTGGTTTTAATTAGTAAAAATTCTGTTGAACAAAGATTTTTTGTATTATAAGGTCATTTGTCTAAATCTGATACTCATTTTCATTTGGCTTTTAAAGTTTGTTTACATGACTTAATACAGAGGAAACTCTTTCTCTGAAGACTTATTTTAAATTCTTATGACCTGCCAATAAATTGTCTTAAAGTAAATGTTTATTTTATTTGAGGTCCTGACTAAAACTATTTCCGTACGTGTACATTATCCTTTAGTGTTTGAATATTCCATTTCTTCTGTTCTCTTAAGTGTTAAAACAGATCGAGTATAATATGATTTCAAAGTGAAAAAATAAATTATAAAAAGTTACTCTAGGGCCTTCCCTGGCGGTCCAGTGGTTGAGACTCTGTGCTTCCACTGCAGGGGGCACAGGTTCGATCCCTGGTTGGGGAACTAAGATCCCACGTGCCGCGCGGCAAAGGTACTCCTTATTCTCAGCAGATTCTCACTTAACATTTTATGGAAACATAGGCTTTTCATTTCTTATAAAGAGAAAATTGTTAGATGGAAATCTTTCCAAAATGTTTCTATATGAAATTTGGGATAATTTTGATAGTCAAAATACAAAAAAAGTTCGTAATTCGTGTTAGATATGCAATGATTTTAGTAAGTCAACGTAAGTATCAGTTTACATAAACTCACTAAAAATAGATTCTCATAAAATTTGGGAGATCTCGTGTTCTCACTTTTATTGTTTATTTATTATTACAGATTAGAAAAATCAACAGAAACTTCCCTGTAAACCAGCAGGTAAGATGGAGAAACACTCGCAAAGCCGAGTCGTAGGTTTCTTTCATTTTATCTATTACGTTAATAGAAGATAATCTTGATTGCATTTACTTTTATGTGGAAATAATTGGTACTGTCATTTGCCATCTTCAGGAAAATACATAATTTATTAGATTTCTTTCATATTATATAATATACCTGGTTTTTCTAGTCATACTAATAAGAAAAGCTTTTGAGCTAAGTGAATTAAGTCAAAACTATTTTGACAAAACAATTGTATTTATCTGAACCCAGTGCTGAAGAACTTTGACAGCTGTTTACATAAGACAGTTTTACTGTATCTTAAACATTTGGGAGACCTATGTTTAGTTGACCTAAAAGTTAAAGGGAATTTTCAAAATTGGCTGATGGTGTTGAAAATGAGGCTAAATTAATGTGTGGAATGAAAATAATGTCCGATTAACCAAGCTAAGAATTTAGTTGACTTATTGGACTAATAATTGATGTTAGAATAAAATAATTGATTATAAAAATAACTGGTTCCACTTACAATTTTATTTTGCTAAACTTAACTTTCATTGCTTCCGTAAACATAATATAAGCATTAATCAGAATAAGAAAAGGAAGCGCAGGTTCAGCTTGTGGACTCAGAGTCACCCTGTCTGGCACGTGTGACAGTGGTAGGGAACCCATGGCTGGACACAGACGTCTGACACTTGACATCAACCTCAGTTTGCAACCGCTGATCAAAATCTAAACACCTGCGATATTGATTCATAGATGGTACACCCGGTGCAAGTTAATTTCCATGGTAAAATTTTAAAAATAATCTTCAGCTTGTCAAAACAGGTTGCTTTTCTTATCTAAGCCTCAGCTCCCTCATCTGTGGCATTTGTGTAAGTCTAACTATCTCACATGTTTATTTTTGAAAAGTAAATGATAACATGTAAATTTCTTAATATATGCCATTATTTGCATTAGTGTATTAAGTGTTTAAGTGTGTTCTTTGCAGTAGAGAATTTATGTTCTGGTATAAGTTGTATCATTAACGACGCCCAGGCTGCCCGCAGAGCCACGTGTGACCGAGCTAGGAGTGATCAGAGCCTTGGAGAGCGCACTGCGCCTACAGCTCTGACCTGTCTTCCCCTTGGTGTGGCCCCGGGTACCCGGCACGCCTCCTCGGGCCCCGCATCTGAGCCAGCCGGTGCTCTGGGTAGACACACAGCAGTATGGGTGTGTTTGGGGCCTTGTTCATAGCACAGAGACCAGGCTCCAGCCCAGAGCATCTGATGCACTAGCTCCGGGATGATGCCTGGGAAACTGGCTTTGTTGCTCCCATCCCGTCCCAGGTGATTCTGAGGCTGGGAGTGCACAGGTGACATCTGGGAAAAACAGTTTAACAGTTTCGCAGGGCTAAAGCAGAGGGGAAAAGTCATTAAGGATAAGTTATTCAAATAGAAGCCTCAGCCGTGAGGGAAGAGTGCCAGGCCCAGGACTAGACAGGGTCGTTTCATAGTCACAGATCTATGAAAATGTAGACTTACTCATTTGGGGAATCCTTGTCAAAAATATGAATGAAGAATATTTCCTTAAAAATGACTCTAATGTTTGTGTTATCACTTCCCTTGCCCTTTAGACCCTAAACATGTGAAGTGTTTTTTGTTTTGTTTTGTTTTTTGCGGTTCGCGGGCCTCTCACTGTTGTGGCCTCTCCCGTTGCGGAGCACAGGCTCTGGACGCGCAGGCTCAGCGGCCATGGCTCACGGGCCCAGCCGCTCTGCGGCATGTGGGATCTTCCCGGACCGGGGCACGAACCCGCGTCCCCTGCATCGGCAGGCAGACTCTCAACCACTGCGCCACCAGGGAAGCCTGAAGTATTAATATTTAGTGTGATTTAATTACTGTGAATATTTCATAACCCTGACTACGCCAGAGCTATGCTTTATTTATGATGGCAACGACATGGAACACTTCCTACACACGCCCTTCAGTGACTTGGGACAGTCCTCACCACCTCTGCATGTATCTAGGTTTTGAATAACACGGAGCGAAGTCATAAGAATCTGAAAAAGCTTGCATATAGAACAAATCATAGTAAAACCTGTTTAATATTCTAACTCATACATAATAAACACAGATAAGCATAAGCATTTATGGGTTTTTATTTGCTAGCCTTTTAATGTTATTATTATTATAGTGAAATTTTATTTCATATATCTTAGTATCTCACAATTATGAAATTATAGTGAATTCTTCTTGGCACTTTAATAACTGAAAGCGGGAGTTAATAGACTTTTCCCTCCCTACCTTCCACCACGTTAATGAAGTCTTTCAGGAAATAGGATTAGTTTATAGTTCGACATTCATGTATATGTGTAACAGGAAAAACTCACCTGCGTAGTGTGAGAGCGATGCATTAGGAGATCAAGGTACATCCTCTACTTAAAATTTGAGCCGCGTTAAGGAATAAAAATGAAAATCATACATAATCTCATTTCTCATCCAGATTTAGCACTCAGACAGGACTCTTACCTTGGACTAGTTGCTTTCATCTCAAATTTCTTCCTAACTTAATTTCCATGTAGTGTTCTCTGAAGCTCAGATTTGATATAAATATGTATGTTTATACATACGCTTTTTATTAAATAACTCAGACATAATGTTAAAGTATTTAAGTCCCCTCATATCTGTGATACTCTAGGTCTCAAACAAAACCAAAAAGACATCATCCAAGATACATTAGAACAGAACTCTTCTGCTTCCTATGGGATTTGGTTTTGATTTTGTGCCGCCCGTGTGATACGTGTACCCCAACCATAGAAATTAAAATAAAAGCAAAACACAAAGGGATCTGGAACTGGAAAAAGTCACTGTGCGCAGCAGGGGCCAGTGCTGGGGACCAGCTCTTCAGGGACACCCTCACATTCCAGGGGCATGAGACTCTCAGTAAGACCACCTCACGGAAGAAGAGATTTTAATCAGACGTATAAACCATATGAGCAAATAAACCATTAGAAGGGAAAGCATAGTGTGGACATTAAAGAACAGTCCACAACTATTTTTACTTATCATGTGTTGTGTTTTTTTAAAAAATAAGGGAGTGGAAACTGTAAGTCCAGAACAGGAGATGGTGTCCAAAAATGTGGATTTGCAAAAGAACCCCACAGAAGTTCAAAAATGAGCAAAATATGAGTATATTTGACATTATAATCAATTAACCAATTGAATAATAGCACAGATACAAATGAAGATAAAATATGTAATTGGAAATAGCACATCTGAGAGTATCATCAGAATGCAGCACATACAGAAAGGGGTGAAACTATGAAAGATAAGGTAAGGGTTGAAGTTTAGAATGAGAAGCTCCAAAAAAGGGACGTTCTGCAGAAAGACTGGAAACGTGTGAGAGGCGGCGTGTGAAGAGAGACGGTGGCTAAGCGTTTCCATACGTCATGAGATAAGGAACCACGCCAGCCCCGGAGCCTGATGAGGACAACCAGAGCCACGCCCCTGAGCGACCCGAAGCAGCCTGCACGTCCCGTCAGTGCGATAGTGACCCGCCATCAAGAGGGTGAGCTGCCTCACCTGGCACCTGTCTAGAAGACTCTCCACGAAAGTTCATTAGGTGCCAATGGCAAAGTGAAGAGCAGGGAATAAGTAGCCGCTATCTTTAATAAAGGGTGAAACATACACGTTATTGTACAAGAATACAGCACCTCAAGAAGATGCGCAAGAACCTGGTAAAGCGTCTGTCTGTAAACCTAAGTTGGACACACAGTGACACTGCCCACCACACCGTCTGTGAGGATGTCTGTGACATTGAATGGGATCTGTTGTCTGCGCCTCGTTGTATGAATATGACTCGTCCTCTGTGTTAACTGAGCACGAAGCCAAGACTCCTAACCTTCTCTACAAGGGTGTCCAGGAGGGCATCAGAGCAGTGAGTCATGGTCAGTGACTCCAGGCCCCCGTGAGGGTCTCAGTTGCATACGGAGATGCGGGTAACTTGGATCAGATGTGGCTCATAAGTGCAAGTGACGTAGGCTCAGAACTCACTTTCTGGAGAGGTTGAAACAACAGTGAGCGTGATGTCGGAAAGCCTAGTGCAGAGGAAGAAAACACTGGCAGGATTGCTCAGGCTTCCGAGGCTGCTCTTGAGCATTTAATACAGGGAAGGGGCCTGTTCCAAAACTGGGGAAACGGGAGCCATGTCTTCATCAAAATTCAGGTGCAAGATGAGTCTAGGGTGGGTGTTCGGTGGTAATGAGAGAACCATTGCAAAGTCTCAGGCCACTCTCAAGGTGTTGGTCTAGCGTGATTCCAATGTGTGCTTTCTGAGTCTGGAAGCGTTAAGAAAGGCTTGGCTGAAGCTAAGCCTGTGGTGAGGGCAGAACTGCAGGGCAGTGTGGACGGCTCACGATGTCCTGAGTTTATGTTGCCTTGATTTTGAGATTTAGAACAGACGAAAGGAGTCTCTTGCAACAAAAGAAAAGAATAACTTCCCTGAGCTCTTGCATTCATTACCGAGAATGTATCCCTTGTAGAGGACATTGATAAATTGCAATATGTATTTGAAAATGCAAATGGAATAGTGTGAATTCAATTGCTTATGATTTCATTATGGTCAGGCAAATACATAAGAAGACAGAAAATGTACAAAGCTAAATTTTAGCTATATTCTCCATATCTTAATGAATTGGTGAATACAGATATTTTGTGAAGCACAGATATCATCAATTAGATTTAATTGATGTATTAATGTTTATAAAAACCTTTAATACATTTAAATCTTCAGACATTCTCATATAATACTCTTGGTGAGAGTATGAATGGTTACAAAATTTTTGGAGGGCAGTTTTATATTAAGTACCAAAATTTAAATTGCACATTTCATTGGGCTCAACGTTCTTTTTTAAAGGATGTTAGCAGAAAAAAATTTACATGTAATAGAAAGATAAAGACAATTGTCCCACCAATATAGAAATGATTACATAAATTTGTTACAGTCACTCTGTAGATTAT